CTCAAATACAAGTGCTAGGTACAGAAGCTTCAAAGTAAGAAAATCGAGTAGTTGGGCCAAGTTCCGTTGTGTTGGCACTTTAGAGATAGCTGGTAGCATTTTTCAGTAGATTAGAACATGGCCTTCAAAAATTATGAACAGATTTCTCTAAATCTTACTTGATGAAGAGTTATACTTACTTGAAATTGTTGAGGTCACTCGTTTGTGCAGCGCTAGAGCAACAACTTGCTGGGTTATAGGTACTAAAGTACCTATACTATCTCAAACATACAAAGGCAGCAACTTTTTTTGTCAGCAAGTTTATCATATATTGCTGATTAGTAAAGAAAAAGTGAAGCTTCTTTCTCACATGGTCTTCTTGCTGCCACTCATGGAATGCCACACCTTTCAATCTACATGTATGGGAGGGGCTGGAGCTGCTTGCATGTATGTGCTGCAGTGCTGCTACTTCTGCAGGTATTCAAGAGCAAGTGCAACTGTAGGAAGCTAGTGTTGAGCAGACTCTCTTCATGCTGATAATCAAACAGTTATTGAAGTGCGGGCATGCACCATAGCAGCTATAGGGGCGAGGCCATGCACCGTAGGTGTCTCGTTATACACAATTTACACATGCTAATTGAATAATGGTGTTCTTTGCATAACTTCAATAAATTCTTGTAATGTTGTTAAACCAGTTCCATCTCTATTGGCTTCAGTAATCATACCATCAACATCATCTGGAGACAATCTACACATAGAGTGATTGATAAGAGGAATAAGAAATAAACCAATGATAGTAAAATGTTGGTTGGTTGGTTGAACTTACTTTAATCCATAACTCTTTGAAATAGCTTGCAAATCTTTGGCAGATAATTTACCATCACAATCATTGTCTAAAAACTGAAAAGCCTATCAAGAATAGCCCCATTAGTGATTGCAAACAATAGTCAGTTTACTTGTTCTATTTCTCCATAGCTATCATAAGCAGCTCCCTGTAATTTACAGACTAGCTGCAATAGATTAGTATAAGTTATCAATCCTTCCTTTCCTATCTCTTCTTCCCTCATTAGCTCCTGTAGTCATTTCTTAGTCACTTTAAAACCTAACACCTTAATAACCTGGGACAATATTAGATTTTTTTAAACTGCCAATTAAATTAGATTTTTTAAATCCTACTTTTCTAAAAATTAATCACTTATTGTCAAGCTGCCAGTATTTGAAGGATCATAGACTTGGAAAACTTCCCTAAATGACATGTTTTGCATTAATTGTGTTGTATCTCAGGTAATCACTATTATTATTGCTCTTATCATAGTGACCAATCATAACAGTCACCTGTCATGTTCAACCATAGTTAGGGCATAGGCATAGTGTCTATGATGGCACAAGTTTCGAAAGATGAGCTTTCGTTTGTTAAGGAAGTACCTGATCAAATAGAAATTGAGTGTCCAGTTTGTCTGAATATCCTGACAGATCCTCACCAGGTAAACTGCTGTGGTAGAAATTTCTGCAAGTCTTGTATTGAGAGAATAAAGGAGAGTGATGGATCCTGTCCTATGTGTAAAGAGGAAAGGTATCAATTCTTTGCAGATAAAAATATCAGTCGTATAATTAATGGGTTACAAGCCTATTGTACTAATAAAGTGGAAGGTTGTCAATGGAAAGGAGATTTGAAGTATCTACCCACTCACCTTAATAAAGGGAAGAGAGAAGGAGAGTGTCAATACGAAGAGGTCAAATGTCGATATGATGAGTGTCTAACAAGAAATCAACGTCAACATCTTAATGTTCACGAGGAGGAGTGGTGCGACCAACGACCATACCTATGTCAGCATTGCTATGCGGAAGGTATATATTTATCTATTACCTTCTCACATATAGCAGTTTGCCCAAAGTATCCTACAAAATGCCCCAACGATTGTACAAGTTCTGTCATGCCTCGAGATAGTGTTCCTGATCATTTGACCCAGTGTCCATTAGAGCCAGTAGATTGTGTGTTTAGTTGGGCTGGTTGTGATGATAAGCCATTACGTAAAGATGTACATGTACACACTGCTGATACTAAACACATGACACTATTAGCTGTAGCTTGTGGACAATTGAAGAAAGAAAATGAGAAAATAAAACAAGAAATGAAGAAACAAGACAAAGAATTGAAAGAAATGAATGCTCGAACACTGTCTTACATTGCTGTCATGGATTGTGATAAATATCCTCTTCTACCAGCTACACTTCATATACGTAGTGATCCTGTTCCTGTTCATTTTTATACTGAGGTTGGTAGTCATCACATGTCAGCCGTCTTTCTTGAACGAAGACTCTACCTTGCATTTCATAATGGAAAGTTTGATAAAGTCGGTGCATTTTCCCAGCCTGAAATTCTATTTAAATATGATTATAGTGATGATGCAGAGCCTGTACAGATAGAGTTGTATAGAAAAGTAAATGATAATATTCTCACACAGGCAGTAATGCAACCATCAAAACTAAAAAATGATGGACTAACTTCCATACATATTGTTGATGTCACCAGCATTGAAATTACACTTACTTCTTCTAATGAAGTCACTGTGATAGGGTACGATCCATTCATCTATGTGGATTAATTGCTGCCATTCAAGCAGTAGTTCTATTGGTATGTCAGGGGATGGTAAAGGAACATGGCCCCT